CAGGATCGACCTCTTTTCATTAATGATAATCGGACCTTCAGGAACGCCATACGATCATGCAATTTTTCTATTCGACATTAAGTTACCCGTTGAGTATCCGCTTTTGCCTCCATTGGTTAGTTTAATTTACCACGTACTTTATATAATCCATCGGTAGTTGGAAAAGCGTATTTTACATTAAAGTAATTTAATCAATGATGAATACTTGCTCTCTATTTTGTCCTTTTTAGGTTCACTATCATTCAATGGTGAACGAACGTGTGAATCCTAACCTTTACGTTGATGGAAAAGTATGCCTTTCTCTACTTGGGACATGGCATGGAGTTCACGCGTCTGAGCATTGGGATGCTGAAAAATCTAGTGTTTTTCAAATTGCCATCTCTATTCAAAGTGAGTCCCAAAATAATCCGTTTTTACCACTATTAGGTAAACTAGCATTAAATTAGCTGGAGCGCTCACTTATGGCTTTTAATGTCCTGCCTCCATAATACATATGAGTATCACAGCATCTTTTCTTATAACCACTCAAAACTGAAAAATCACACAACTTACAACAGTCTCAGTATTTGGAGCCCTTCTGAGCAAAGTTATTGTATACTAGGTTAAATGCTTTCGAATGCTTCTATTGTGGATTGATTGTGAGTCTGTTTGAATGTTTGCATTAAATTTAGCTTTGTAATACATTTCAAGCCTCCTTTCATTATAAGTAGATTTCAGTTACCTTAGGTCTGGTTTACTCCCGGAAATTTTTTATCCTTAGCAAGTCTCATTAATTATGAAGATGAGACCTTAAAGTCTACTTTAGATGATTTTGGAATTTACGGCATAGTGAACTTCACTGTTAAGAATATTCCATTCGAATTACAGCGGTTAAATTCACAAGTCCAGCAATACACTACTAAAGACTGTTAAAGCTAGGACATAATCAGCTCCCTCATCGCTTCACAATAAAAACTGCTATACAAAGAGATTAAGTAGGATAACCTTTCCCACGAATTGATAGCAAATCCATCATATAAAATAAAGGCGGGGTCGGAGTTCAATCTAAGCTACAACTCAAATGAATCTTCCTTTTTGCACTATTGAAGAGTGCTGATCTTACTTGGAGCACCCAGGCCGAAACTTTGTAACTTGCTTTATAATTTGACCAAAGTTAGATTTCAATGAGCAACATGAGGTGGTCTATTTATGCATATTCTCAAACCCTGATTATTAATCAGATTGTAGCTAGGCTAGTCTAAATGCGTTCTTTATTTTTAATCCAAATTGAGGGTTTGCAGCTTTCCTAACGCTATTGTTATCTTAAATTAATGTATTTTCATCGATATTTGTCAACTATAATATCACCGTCAGGTTTGATTCTAAATATGGAGCCCTATTTCAACGAAGCTGGTTTCGATGTCTCTCGGGGCAGCGAGTTTGGTACTGAGTCATCGCGAGTTTACAACGAGACCATAATCATTGCGGTTGCCCAATCCATGCTTTCGTTGTTGTCCAAACAGCGCAAGATTGTCCGTAAAGTTGAGGATAGACTCGAAATGTCAGGTCGGGATTTTGACTCAGACGTAGAGCAAGCAGGGCAGGTCAAAATGTCGGATGGAGAAAGAGCTGATTCAATCATCACGGTATTCAGTAGTGAGATAAATACCCATTTCAGCAAGAACCTTCCAAAGTGAGTATATTATCCT